CAATGAGCCTTCACCGCACCAATTAAGATCTCAAGCGGTGGCTACAGGAACGGACAATTATAGTACGCATGCGAATGACCGCCACGAACTCTACATACCGTGTTATCACCCTTTATCTACTCATTTCTCAGACTTGTTTACGATTACCTATAAGAAAGGATTCTCGACAGAATCCCAAACGTCAGGACAATGAAACTCTTGTTTCAGTGGTCGCTTCTTCTTTTTCTTCTGAAGTTCTTCCTGGAACGGGCATATTCAATTCTACTGGCAACTCCTTCCGCTTTTAATTGCTTTACTTCAAATGGGGAAGGGGATAATACTTGTTACCGGCCGTGGTGTGGCCTCTTTCGGCAACCAGTAAAATTTCTTCTTGATATGCCTATGAACCGTTGGCCGTCAGACACAGCAGATCAGGACATACATGACTGGGTGCAACCATTGGCGGCTGAGATTGCAGATTAACGGCATGAAATTCAACAGTCAACCGTGTGACTCCAACCAACGTCCAGTATTTCTGGTCGTTTGACTACGTTACTTTTGCAGTCTGTAGCATGAAAAATTAGTAATCTTTTTTTCAAAACTAGCCTTCTGCTTGTAGTTTTCTTACATCAATTGTGAGCAATAAAATTAAAGCTTGATTACAGTTCTGAGTTAAGTCCCGCTAGTGTGTGTTCGATCGATTTTGCTTATTAGCCCTAGCGGGTTAAAAAAAATACGAAAAGTTGGTAACCATTGGGGCTTAGAAAATACTCCATAAAGTGATTTCTTCAAGGGCAATGTCGGAAACAATAAAGTTGGCCGGCAACCTCCGACATCTCTAACCCTAGGATTCTGTCTTACAGGACCGATATTCATAGGGATTAAATGGGTAGGCCATATCAAGCGAAGGAACGAATAGATTAAAAAGTAGAGCCTATAACAGAAAATAATAGAAATGATTATTTAAATAACCTAATGTTTGGCAGGCGAAAATTAAAACGAGCAATGCAACCAACAGGAAACAACAACTATGCAAAAGTACCCGCGAATTGGATACACAGCACTATCGAACCGATTTCAAAATTTCGAGGAGAAAGTAAAACCATGAAAGGTCAGCTTTTCCCATTTTTCAACAGATATTTTAGTACGATAACTGAAAAGCAACCGCATTTTGCTTTAAAAGTTAAATTCAATTGAAAGCTAAACTAATTAAAACTATAACTAAAATTGAACTAATAGACTAAATGATAAACTAAAATCTAGACTAAACTACAAGTAATAAAATTAAAAGTAGCCACAGGAAGCTTAATATTTATACGTTGGAGGGTGCATTAATAGGCATAAGTACGTCTACTTAAACGCATACATTCCTTAATCAAGTTTTGTTGTGTAACGTTGTCGGGCAGCCAAACCGTTACCGCAATGCCTTCAAAGGCAATGCCTATCACCCTTAATTCAACTAATTTCAGTTACATGTTATGGAAGCTGTGGACTTACATAGGCATTAGCGAGGTTATTATCCAAACTACGGTTCCCTTGTTGCTTCTTCAGGACGAAAATCATGATCACAATGACCAGACAGGCAGTGCCAACAATGCCGCAGAGGATCCCAAGTACCAACGTTGCCGGCGATTCCTCTTGAATAAGAAACATAAAGTTCGTTTAAAGGAGAGGGCGCTAGCGTCTTTTGCAAATGTTGACTGAAAAAAATCATAATTTTGGCCACGAGAGAGGAAGGAAGGGGGCGTTGTAAGTTGAGTAAGATTTCTGTTAATTAGACGTAAGTACTACTCAGATAGGCCGCGAAGAGTAATATAAACCACTAAACGAACCTCTAATTAACCAGAGTTGTGCAGATCTAAGTAAGTAATGTGACCCAGTTGTGAACAATTTGAGGATACCGGTGGGATTCGGACCCAGGACAGCAATGGCTAGGCTTGTGTACAGCTATCAGGCTCAAGTGGAAGCAAAAAGTTGATAACAGATAGGTCAAGGTGCATGCCCAGCCTAATGCAAACTCTGGACTCCATCAATTTGATAAAGTAAGCTGACTAATCAAGAAGGCTTTCCTCATCAACCAAATTAGACGCATATTTTAGGAGGTAAGTAGGCTTGTTGTACTCAAACCCAGCTCCCAAATTTTTCAAAATTTGGCCAAAGTAAATCCTAAATTGTATGCGAACACTAACAACGTAGGCCACAGCGGCAGGACTCTTCTATACTTAAAGCTTTGAATTTCTTTACTGATCCTGCCTGCTACCGTCTCTGAATACACCATCGAAGGGGGTGAAGGCATCTGTGCCCTTCTAAAATTTGTAGGGCTTCTTGCAGGTCAAAGAAACTGTCACTGCCAATAGCAGCAAACACCTGGGCAAAAAAAAGCAAAAAGGTGGTAACTGAGTTGACAACTAGGACCGTACTTGGCTTCCTCCTGGGTAACTTCAGCATGCGCAGCTACATCGCACAGAAGTTTAGCGCCCTTAGAGGTTTGAAGCTCAAGCTTTAAGCAAACGTTGACCTTTTATTTCTGCGTGAGTTGTCAGCCTTTAAGTAATCTTTTCAGCCAGGTGCCGTGGCCCGTTCCACTCTACC